TTTCGCAACTAACACATTCTGGTGATCAATAGTTATTTTTTGGGGGATCAAAAATATTGCTACCCTTTATCCACAATTAATCAATAAGCGCTCAAGTGTCGTGTGCTCAAGTGTCGTGTGCTCAACTGTCGTGTGCTCAACTGTCGGTGTGCTCAACTGTCGGTGCGCTCAACTGTCGTGCGCTCAACTGTCTGTGCTCAATTGTCGGTGTACCTGGTCATAGGTCAAGACTTTAAAAACACGGATAAATAAAAGCTTTGAAAAAAAATGTGGTGAATGATGCGTATCCATACATCGTCATGTTCGTTTCTCTGAGAACTAGCCACTCCCAAGATGCATTTTTAGTAAAATGATAGATCCGAGAAATGAGCTTATTATAGTAAAGTTTGATTTCATATCCAGGAACATATAATACAAAAATTTGAAGAAAATATTCATTCGGAAAATATGATCAATAGATGTCACCGGTGATAAGTGCATCTGCTATTAATTGCTCGAAATAAACAAGTTAGCACCCGCCTAACAACGTACCAAATGTTATCTTTATCGTTTGAACTAATCTAATATTAGTACTTATTATTTGAATTTATGTATTAGTACTGTTGTTCTGGTTATTATCTTTACTGTGTTGTTCAATAATCTATATTATTTTTCAGTAGTCATTGTTTCTTAAAAATAGAATTCACAATTATAAGTAACGTACAATTTGTTTCACCTCTCCGAAATTCGTAACACCTTTTTTTAGATCAGATGAACAAAAAACAAATTGAATTATTCGATTTTTGGAATAAAAGTCGAAACCTATCATTAGCAACAACAACAAATGTTTCTTTATCATGTGAAAATCAACAAGAAATTTCTTCTATCCCATCAGATACGACCGATTCTATTCCTTTATATACACTTGATGAACCAGTAAAAGAAGTTGAAACAGCTTCGACTGAATCTCGATGTTCATCATCACACATTCCTGAAAATCAGCAAGTGTCTTCTTTGATTGAAAATGAAGATTCTAACATGCTACAGACAAACAAAAAACCAAGTACTCCAAATTGTCGTAATTATCTTTCTTCTTGGTAACAGCAGCCCGAAACTTTATTCAAAAGTTATGTGTTTGATCAATTCGGCAATCGGCAAGAAAAAATTTCATCGTGGCTATATTTCAAAGATGATGCAATGAGATGGTCTTGATGTGAAAAACACGATAAAAGAAGAAATACCAACGGCGAGTTAGATATGTTACATATTTCATAGAAATTCTTCATTTTTTGTAGGAAGAGAAAACGTATGGTGTACCTTAGGATATCAGCATTTTTTATTAGATGAAGTAAAGCAACACAAGTAAAGCAGTGAGGTCCATCGATAGACTGAAGAAGCTGAATTAAAAATTTCAGCTGGAGTACAACCAACATGGATTCAAACACAAACTATGCAAATTTCGAAACAAGAAGAAGCCGTTCAAAACTTGATACTTACTGCAATTCATATTTCTCGTCAATATAAGTCTTTAAATAGTATGGAAGAGTTATGCATATTTCTTGAAGAACTCGGTGCTCAATTTTGTGTTTTTTTATCAGTGAATAGTAAGTGATATTTATTGCGTGATTGTTGTTCCATTTGTTTTAACCTATTTATACATAGTCGATAAATGATTTGTCTGTCTAACCTAGTCAGATGCTATTCTTTATATATATTTGATGTATAACCTAATATTAATAAAAATATACGAAATATTTCTCTTTTTCAATTTTAGTGATTGACACTTCGGATATTTTGTGATACTTTGCTTTGAAAAACAAAGTATCATTTTGCACTGTGATGGCAAAAGTAAAGTGTCATTTGACTTTTTGTTTTAGATTTCTATTAGAAACATTGCTGACAACATACCATAACAGTTTTTCACTTTTGGTTACCATTTTGCCATTTTAACATTATTTCAAATGGATCGCTGTCTTCTTGATATTTTACCAGTTGAAATATTTGATATTATTTTCGAATACTTTTGGGCGCATGAGATTTTGGCATCATTTCATAATGTTAGTCCATATCTTGATGCTGTTTTATACTCATATTCAAGTTATCAGGTTAACTTTGCATCCATTCTCAAACCTCATTTTGATCATGTTTGTCATACTCTGAGACCAAACCAAATTATTTCATTGATACTCTCCGATGATGCCGATACACCCCGGCAATCTCAAATCTTCTTATCTCACTTTCAAATCAAATCATTCACTCGAATTCGTTCACTTACATTAGATAGAGTTGAAAGGAAGTCCCTGTTAATCATTCTTAGCCACATAAATAAGATGAATCGGCAATTTCGACTTTTTTTACACAATTGTGATATTGTACCTCTGAGTTCCATGGAAATACCATTCCAGTTACGTGGCTTGAGAATTGGCGAAAGCAATTTATTGAACCCCAGATATTCAACGTTTGTTGTGAACGCAAACACATCAGTTTTGTATACTGATACATTTCGTCATATTTGTGCAAATGCATCTGGACTGAAATCGTTGAACATTCGATGTGAGGACATAAATATTATAATGAACTTGTTTTCAAGATTACCACAACTTACTTCTCTTGCTCTTAAAATTACAAGTGAGTATTATTCAGTTATCAAAAATATGCTGATAGATATTTTCATAATATGAAGTGAAACTGACAAGTGAACGTAACTCAACATTTTATATGCGAGTGTTGTTGTCTAGTTATTTGGTGCCCCCTGTAGGGTTGGATAACGCAGATTTTTATGTCGTCACATACCAAAAAGATTCGAGAAATTCCCAGTTTTCGCTGGGACACTGTCAAATGTGTCATGTATAGCACTCTGAGAGATAAGTTTGAATGATTGAGCCTTCAGACACTAAAGTTTCTGCCTTTTGAACGTCAAATATACAGTTAGGATTCTGGCAAATACTACAATAAACATTCGATGTTCATTAAAGTTAGACGACGAATATATATCAATACCCATGAGACATCAGGAACTTTCCTAGTTTAATAAGTCTACTAGTCTTTCTATATGAACAACAAATTTCTGATTGCGTAGATCTACAGTCTATCTTCGAGTGGATACGGGCAAATCTGTGATGATTATCTTAAATAATTCATTTATGTAACGGTCCTTCAAGAAGAAAAACGTACATGTATGACAATTTCGTTTACTTAGGATATTTGGTGTCTATGAATCACATCGAAAATGTCATGTTGAACCTTCTCCGTCTCAAGCATCTTCAACTTCAGTTGATTAACAGCGATATCAATTTAGCAGATGGACAACGATGGGAAAGTGTCACTAGTTCCCTCATCACATTTAATTTCAACTTTTACATCAGGCTAAATGAAATCGAAAGAACTCTCGATACTTTTAGAAGTTTGTTTTGGCTTCAAAAACGTTGGTTTGTAGCCTACGAGTATTGGCGTTTATTTTCAGTACCGTATTTTACTAATGTACACTATCAGAATAGTTTTCAACGATTTATGCATTCAACAGTTATTGATGATAAAACTTTTCTTGACAATATAACTACACTTGAATTATCACGGCCATTAGTGGACAGTGAACATTATTTTCCTCATGTCCGAACATTGATAATCATTAATGATATTCGACTTGAAACTCTTTCATCTATTATTGATATAAATCGAGTGGAGCATTTAATTCTATACTTTCCAATCACGCAAGCACTACCAAATATATGTCATCTTTTAAGCACAGATTGTCTTCAAAAACTATCGATAATGAGTAATCCATTTCGACTACTTAAACAATTCAGAGGAATGAAATTCGAAAACATCAGAACACTTGAAGTGAAGTATGACTTTGAATTTGGTGAAAATTATCCTATTGAAGAATTATGTTCGATTTTTCCACGAGTTGAACGTTTACATATAAGATCCATAAATCAAGCAACTATGATCCCTATGATTGATGGATTTACACATCTCTCCAGTGCATCCTTCTATTTTGATTCGTTGTCGAATACAAATAAAGAGCATTGGCAAGTAAAGCCTGAGTGGGCACTTTATGGAGCACGACGATTAACAAACTCGTCGTATATCTGTGAATATCAAGATTCAACTCTTCATGCATGGATTAGCGAACAGGTGAGTCAATTTTGATTGAAAAAAGTATCTAATTATTCTATAAATATCTTTATTTAGCCGTTGGAATCTTTCTCATTATATCATTGGCTAGAAAAGCAAGATTATTTGTATTATCGGATTCGTTCTATTTTTAGGCAACATGTACTGCGATTTTCCTGTATTGGATTTTGTTTCATTTGGGTCGCGTTCTTTATGAGATTTTACATTCATATCGATGAATACTTTCAATGGAACCTGAATACCCTCATAAAATTTTTAACGGCCTGCCTAATTTATGTATTTGTTGTATTTTATAGTAAAAATACCGACATCTTTATAGCCATCGCTTCTCTGCCAATGGTATACATCTTTGAGAGCATAGCTGTTTGGATCAATAAAATCTGTAATTTCCCTATGTATGGTAAAACAAAGAGCGCATTCATCTGCGGTTTTAAATACTTTCTTTATTTTAACACTTTGGCTGTCATCGTTTTTATTGTTCACATAACGTATGCAGGTCTTTACAATTTTTATCTAATGTTGAACATATTCTGCAACTGGTTTTTATCCATCTTGTTCGCTATCATAAATGGTTAAGCGCGAAATTGAATACGAAGTGATCGTAATTGATATTTCCACGTACATATCATATTACTAACTGTTTCACTTTTATTTTGACACTACATACATTTCTGATCGAAATCAAGAAGCGTGCGCGTGTAATATGGTTATTGTCTTCATTTACGTAACATTTTTATTTTTATTACAATAAATGACCTGCACGAGTTTCGTTTTATGCAGTGCTTTATTTATTATATGAATCACCGTCACTAAATGAAAAGAAAGTTGGTCAACACAAATCCTTTCTATTGTTTTTTGTATCCGCAAAGGATTTTTTCAACAGATTCGTTTTGGAACTGTATATACCTATAGATGTCAACACAATGAACACTCTGATGTATTTTAAGAAAACTAATGAATGTAGATAAGTTGTAAACGATAAATGCTTTATTTTAACATTATAACGGGGAATTTTCGATCTTTATCGATCATTTTCAACCTGATACCAAGACTTTTAAACATAGGTGTTATAGAACTTTACAAACAAAAACAAAAACGAAAAAATGAAGAAGACTGATGGAAATGTCTTAATATTTCAATTAAACAATAACAGTGTAACCATGAACATCATAAACATATACATCATAAACAGGGCTCCGCGTGGGATGGGATGGGACGAAAAATTTCGTCCCATGGGACGAAATGCCGAAAAATGTCCCACATGGGATGGGACTATCTTCAAAATTTTCGTCCCAGATGGGATGGGACGATTTTTACAACTGTTCGTCCCACGTGGGATGGGACGATTTTAAAAATTTTCGTCCCACGTGGGATGGGATGGGACCAAAAAAAATTCGTCCCATCCCATCGTCCCATGGGACATCATAGTCATGAAAAATTTTTAAAGTAGTCTTAAACATACGTCAATTTTAATGCTATGAAAAACAATTTCGATTTCGATCATTTCATTGTGTATTTCGTAATTTTATCAAAATCAAAAACTAGTTCACATTTGCTGTTATCTTATTTTCACAATATCAGACATCACACTCGCTATGCGTATACATAAATACTAGTTAAGTATTAAGCAAAATCACACTGAAAAATGAAAATACATTTACAAGTACATAATAATTAAAAGCATATGCGTATATAGACGAAAAAGGTTTATAAGACATCATTTAGCAAGTTTCATATTTTCCATGGAACGAATAAATAAAATGTTATTAACTTGATTAGGATCTAATGCAGTTCGGCGTTCATTGACAACAATACCAGCGCCACTAAATTGCCGCTCGACTCCGGCTGACGATGCCGGTATACAATGTATTTGACGTGCAAGTTTAGACAGCATAGGAAAAGGACGTTGATTGCTTTCCCAAAACTTAAGTGGATTGTCGATTAAATTGGCTTTTACAACAGTCATAGCTAAATAACGATCTAACTCATCCGCCTTTGGCGCTTTGAATGAATAATCTTCACTGCCGGAACTATTAGATACATTAGTTGATTGTTCAAAATCACTGTCATCTTCGTATTGTTCGAAAATTGATTGATGAAGTTTGGATTTTTTCGAGACGGTTCAAAATCATCTTGTTGTTGTTCATTTTGTTTTACTGTTGTATGAATATGTTTTCGAATATATTTATATGCTTGTTCACGTTCATTGCTTGTGCATCCTTTGAGTTGTCGATATTTCGGGTGTAATAATGTTGCAACGTAATGATGAATGTCTAATGTAAACATAACATTCAATAGGTCCAATATTCGAAGTCGAAGAATTTCGATTCCTGTAATGAAAAAGACAAAGTTTAGCAAGTTTCATTGCAAACGAAGAAAATATTTGTTTTACCTTCATTTTCGAGAACCTCTTCAACTTCTTCAACTTCTTCACTATTATCTAAATCTTTTGTTGATGATTGTGCTTCGTATTTCAATAACTCTTCAAATGATGATAATTTATCTTTCAACATTCGAGTACATACTAATACCATATGTAGTGATGGAGTATTCGTCGTCTGTATAATTTTCAAAACATGTTTGAAAGGTTTCAATAAACGAATTAATTGTTTTAAGATCTTTTCATCAATTCCATTTAATTTTGATTGTTGTTTACGATTTATTAAAACTCGTTTAGTTTCTTTAAATGAACTTGTAATACTTTCAAGTAACTCTATTAACGACAACCAACGAATAACCGTCGACTGCTGCAACGCAACACCGCCCAGAGATTGAATATCTTTGTTGCAGCCGCTCTAAACGAATAAAAAAACACGAGAGTCAAATTTTTCACTAAATAATGTAATTTCCTTAATTGATCCTTTGCAAAAGAAGTGATGTAAAATATATTTCTTACTTTCTTCACAAATTGAACCAAATTTTTACAACGGACTATTATTTTAATGATTTCTTGTGCTGATGGATGTAAATCCTTAAACTTTAATTTTCTTGGATCAACAACAACATTCGTTGTTGTTACTGATTGCTTTCTATGTGTTGTTTTATTTTTAATCGGCAAAGTTGATTCATTTTTATCATTTTCAGAATCGGTTGATAATGGTGAACGGTTGACTTCGTCATTTATTGTATCAGCAACATCTGTTGAATTGGCAGTGTTGATGGAACTTTTGTGTTGATCTGTTGCAGCTGATATTGTTATTTGTTCTTGTTTTGACTGTGATTGATAAAATGAACATTTCAGAACATTATTCACACGATGTGGATAGCAATATAAAGTATTATATTTTTTTAATGCAGAAACTAGATTAGGACCACGATCTGATACAAAATTTAATTTATTGAAATCAATTAGACCGAACGGTGCCAAACATTGTCGGATAGCCTAAAAGAATAATCAGAAATGCAGTTTGTATCTTTAAAAAGCTCAGCAAGATCAATAGTTAATTGCCATTAGTCTCCTTATGTAACATTGTATTTATGAAATGATTTCATTAACAAAGAACATTATTAGATCTTATCTTGGCAAAGCGACTAAAATAACAAGAAATAAATTGTTGGTCTTACCAACAGAATATTTTCACCAGTATGATCAACTTGTGTATAAGGTTCACAGCATAGATCAAATGATTTATAAATATACTCTTTATCAACAAATGAAATTGATATACCCAAATAAGAAATTTGCTTGTATGGATCGGTCCATAAGTCGGGACTAATACAAACACATCCATTTTCATAAGGTTCTTGCAATAGATTTTTCAAAATTGCACGATAATCATCAGCTAATTTGTATATGTGCTTAGCATACACATCAGCCCCACGAAAAATACTTTTCAAGTCGATTTCTCCATATGTTGCACCTTAAAAGTAAAAAGAAAGAATTATTCAAGAAACAAACAGAAATTAAAAGAATACATTTACCTAATGAAATAAATTGTTGTAATAGATTTTTTAAGCCAACATCTTCTACAATTGAAAATGGTCTCATATCCTGGCATAGCCATTTACATGTTAAATCTTTAACTAAATTAATTTCTTTGTCTGGTAACTGAACTTGCTTGTAAGATCTCATGAATGTTTGCAATTTCAATTGACCACTATTACTATCCACCGATAAAGATCTTTTTCTTATTTC